CTTTACAAGATGGACGAAAATCAAAATCTAAAGTTGCAGAATAATTATTTTATTGTTCAAATGGAAAAATAGACGCTCGATTGACTGTCGCAGTATCTTCTTTGTCTTATCCGAGATTCGAAGATAACTCGTCGCGGAGCACAGTTCAGTGTTGCCAGATGCAAGGGAATTTCTCGAAATCTAGGAAGAATTACAAAAAAAATGAAAGAGGGAAAAAAGGATTTTTTGTGAAAATAAGTTAAAATTTAGGAGTTTTTCACAGTAAATGAAAATTTTGTTTTATGCTCGGTTTTCGGTCGATAATTCGGTGGTCGGCGTGGAATGGCCACCACGATGGTCGGACAGTGTGGTGTGTGGATAGTAGGGCTGCGTTCAGAAACACCACCCGAGTGCCTCCGCGTGTCGTTTTATCCTTGTTATTCACCCCATATTAAATAGGGATAAAATAATACACGAGTGTATCCGGATGATATTTCCAAACGCAGCTTACCGGTTCGGAACTTTAGGTTCGGGGTGGCTACGCACATGCTTAATCTTACTAGACTGATTCTTGAGATTAAATTTGTGCTACAAATATTTATTTGTTTAGGTTAAGATAAGTTATGTATGGAACACTAATTTATGTTAATTACTAGCCTTACTAGTCTGATTTACGAAGTCTACAATAGAAATCGTAGCGATAATAGTGCCTTTAGTAGAAAATTGACCAGAGTCAATTATATTTTTCATATTTAATTGTGATTGGTCAATTTTCTATGATTTAAGATGATTGCTACGACTTCCATTGACTTCCATTGTAGATCCCGTATTAGACTTATGTTAAAATCATATTATTTGTTTCTTTAAAACTTCTCTAATATTGCACAATAAAAATATATTATTCATTAATTTATAGTACTTATTATTATTGGGTCATCTAAAAAGTATCCGCGGTTTTTTGTCACTAGATGTGTTTTTTTTGTGAGGACAAAAAACCCGCGGATACTTTTTAGATGACTCAATATTAATAAAAAAATAATTTATGATTTGATTTTAATAAAATTTGTAAAAAAACAAAAATTTTGTGAATTTAAGAGAAATAGATGAAAATTTTGAAAAACAGGAATTTTGGGAAGAACGGAAATAGAGAAAACTAGAGAGATTATCATATGTTAATAGGGAAATTGCTTCGTCGATATCTGGCAACACTAGCACAGTTGTCTCCGAGCACTTATCACGTTAAGACGTCCTATTTCATTGTCTCAGACGTAAATCTAACACGGAATCTTATTCTATCTTGTATTGGGTCATCTAAAAAGTATCCGCGGTACTTTGTCACTAGATATATGACCATCAACACACATCTAGTGACAAAAGACCGCGGATACTTTTTAGATGATCCAATATATATATATATATATATATACAGGGTGTCTCAGAGAACACAGACCACACTT